TATATATACAAAAGTATATTAAAACTCCTGACATACATTCGATGGTTGCTTTTCTTTTGTCCACCATTTTTAAACGCTCATATTCCATTGATTGTCTAATATAATGGAATGCCTGATCTTAAGATATAAAACTGTAAATTCTTTTTCTACATGTAAAATAAAAATGTCCAATAGAATGGACATTGGGTCTCAAAAGGTTATAGAATTTTACCTTTTTAACGTTCTGTGAGAGTTGTCATTTGTGATACAAATATCACTTGTATGGGTTTATGAAATATAAAAAAATTTCAAAACTTTAAGCAAATAAAGTTTGACTTATACTGGGAATGCATGGCTAAACAAAGGTGCGGAAGCTCTCTTCAACGGTGACGACCTAAGTTAAGACGCCTTAATAACACCCAGCAGAGAATTCTCTTTTGGCTTAGTTGTCTAAGGTAACCAAAATCTTTCAGACAAGTTTTCTGCAGACGGACAGATCAAGGTTTCGAACCTACCCCAGTTACCAAAGATCAGCCGACTGTCCGCAAGGGAGTGAAAACCAACCCCCCAAAGAGGAGGAAAACATCCAGCCGTAAAGGAAGAGCTTAAAATCATAATTAACTGATAAAACACAGATCCAATTTCGATTTTTTTTTTTTGAGTGGTATTCCATCAATTGAAATCATTTTCAAAAAACAAATATCACTGACTGATTCCAATTGTTGATGAATTTTCATTTGATTTTTCGCTTTTTTTTTTTTGGTTTTTTGATGACGCATTGAAAATTTCACTGCAAAATATTTTTAAAATATGTGTCTAGAAAGAAAAAAAAAATAGTGACTGTTTTTATTTGTTTTGATGCGCATAAATTCTCCCCTCCCCCACTTTCCAGCAATAAAAATCCTGTAAGTGCTATGAGACTTTGTTTTATGCTTTATATCATTTATGATTCCGATAACATCATGAGTAATCTAAACCAACAATATTATATTAGTGAAAACAGTTTTTAATGCTTTAGAGAATCTTCTTCAAAAATACTGATTTATAAAGATTCAAGGAGAGAGGACAATGTTTGATTAATTATTTTAAAAAATGAATTTACATTATTTAAAACTTTGAAACGTTATCCTAAACTATATTACAAATTAAGAATGAAATAGTAATATATCATCAAAGATATAATAACATGTCATATTTTGAAGTTTAAAGCATACAGCCGCAATAGTGTACAAAATTATGTACACATTCACACATATGCTCGTATACATAATCACATAAAATCTTTCAAATATTACAAATTATACTGAAATACAATATGGGAAATACTTAATGATAAAGAAATATTTATATTATTTTTTGATTAAACGAACTGAATAATTTAAACAGAACATAAAAGTTATTTTTTATTTTATTTTATTATTATTATTTTTTTAATTTTATTTATCTATTTATTTTGCGTAGAATATATTTCCTGAGTCGAATCAATATTAAATAGTAATACAAACATTTTCTGTTTTCTAAAAAATGTAAATGTAAATCTGAGATGAATATTTTCTTAGAAGTAATTTTTTTTAAAAACCATAATATTTTGCGAGTGATAGTTTGTTCCCTTAGTTTTTTAAAAAGACAAATCAAAATACTTTTAGAGACATAATAAAAAAATGCATCAAAACATTTTTAAATGATTGAAAAATACATAAAACACTGAAACTTAAAGTATAACATATTTGTAATGCAGAATTTTCGTTCGCAATGAGTTTTCCGATAGTTCCCTTCCATTTTTATAAGCTAATATCCTTATAAAACAATTGAACTTAACTTTATTTAGGTTAGAATGGAAAACACAATCCTTTCGAAATGTATCGTCGTATCACTAATAGGCTATAAAAATATTGTCTGATAGAAACGAATGCGTTGATGTATTTGAAACTTGAGTAAATTTGAAAACTATTTATGACACCATGATTAGTAATGAATATAATTTAAATAATTTTTTTCTTGATTCATTTTGGATTGTTTATTAAAGTCGCACTTAGGAGCAAAACGAGGCCTATTGGCAACTGATCTTGTAATTTTGAACCATAGTGTCAAGTGACGCGGACGATCCCTCTTATCTGGATCTCCTCCTTCCTAATCTCTCCAAATGTCAAAGTAAGGAAGTTGTTCATGGAAAGATTTAACGTTGAGATTTCTCGACCTTCCTTGCTTAATATTTGTTCCATGTAAGTTCACTTAATGTTCAGTCATGTGTAGACTTGTTGTCACGGTCACAAACTTGAGGCCTAAGAGGTTTTCGTCGAATCGTGAGTTCGAGCCCGGATGCCTAAAAAAATCCCATGTGTAGTGGTGCTGATGCACATTCAATTGGTCGAGGTCCTAAGTTCCCGCAATGGCATGGTGTGGAAGGGTAGAGAGGTAGGTATCAGCTTATGTGTCATCACCTATCTCTCCAAATTACAAGGCCTGTGGCCAATTGATCCCGTGTTGATTCTAAATGCAGTGACCTCGGTAGCCTAGTGGTCATGGCCGCGGACTCGCGGCCGGGGGTTTTCGTCGAGTGTTGGGTTCGAGCCCCACTGCATCTAAAGACCCGCCATGTAGTGGGGGGCTGATGCACTTTAAATCTGTCGAGGCTCAAAGTCCTCCCACTGACTTCATTTGGAAGTTAGTAAAGGGAGGTACCAGATCACGTGTCGTTCTCGTCACTCGACCGAGGTTTAAAATTACTAGGTCCGTCGCCAATAGCCCTTGTGTTGCTTCAAGTATGACATTAATAAAACCAATCAATCAAGCTTCTATGTGCGATGTCTATAGACATTCAGTCAAATCACTCAAACAAGTTCAGTCACCACGCAAGCAATGAAATCTTTAACTTAATTTTATTCTAATTTTAGAGTTGTCAAAAATCATTTTAGATGTTAAGGAAGTGTTGTAGCACGCATTTACACTTGAAGATTAATAATATAAAACTACTATCTCACAATTGGAAAATTGGATCAGAGTCCTTAATAAAGCTTGTAAGCTGGAGGCGGTTAAATTCTGCTTCTGAATTGATCATTTAATTAACACGAATAGGGTGATATAATTCTCTTTCTTCTCAACATAAGAGCACGTCAAACTTTGGTCACCAAAAACTCTCTCTCTCTCTATCTATTGCTGATTCCTTTTCTCTTTTCCCCCATGCACTACACTACAATTCAAAGCTGCTTTTCATAATGTACAAGTCACTCGGATCAGACAACGTCACAAAAATGCCCATAATATCAGTTGATGGGAAATATACATGTGAAACCGATTACAATGTGCATTAGTTTCGTTACACGCCAGTTCATCAGAGGTATCAAGACTCGATTATGCTTCTCGATTACTGCATCTGCAACTTAAAGCCAATAATTCTAATTTTAGAATTTGATTTTTTTTTATTAATGTCTCACTTAGAACGCAATACTAGGGTTATGGGCAATATATCTCGTATTTTTAAGTCTGGGTCAAGTGCCAAGGACGATATCTGATTGGCATCCCTCTCGCCAAACTTTCATACCACGCCAAAGAATCTAATTTTAGTAATCAACATGATAGTCATCGAATATGTTGAGAACTTGTATTCTAGGTTTTAAGTAATTATAACTCATTGTTAAATTTAACTCTTAATCAAGTAAAACAATATATGAATATAAAATTCTTACTTTGTGTATTTGTATGTTTTATTTTGTTTCTTAATTTAGTTCGTTACCTATTCATACTTTACATAAAAACTGCTTTATAAAAATGTTAAAAGTATATAGTTTATATAGTCTCAAAAAATATTATATAGTTTATATAGTCTTTATATAGTTTATATAGTCTCAAAAATAAGCATTAAATAAAACACTTATTGTTGGAAATTCCAGTCATTAACGTTCTGAAAATGTCGTTTAATAGTAGATTAATTTTACATTTTTCGTACAATTGCTATCAATTATATTTTTTTCTTAGAAAACGTTTGTTATTTCAAAATAAAAAAATGTTTCTTTTCGTAATTAATGTGCAAAAAATGCTGTTGACAGTTGTAATTCCACAGTTGGAATCTTGGTTTATATTTTGTTGTATTATTTTACAACATTTTTATGTATTTCACTTAGTATGTGTCTGTCTGTGTGTGTATCAGTGTGTCATAAAATTTTCGATCGTTAATTTAACCAAATTCCCATGAAGCTAGAGCTCTGAAACTTTGGAAATCGTTCCTACTAGCCTAGCAATGCAATATTTAGACATTTGCGACAAGTTTTAACTAATGTTTCAATAATTTTTTTTTTGGCTACAGCAGCACTAAGGGCGATAAATCCTATTGAATTGAAAATATCTTTAAACTTACCAAATATGGCAAGGACTGCGTGGCCAATTATTTTATAACAATATAGGTTGAGGATATTAACGAAAATGATAAGGATATTTTATAATTACTTGCCGAGTACAAAAATGATATATTTTAATATTGGATGAAATTAGAATGTGAATTCGCAATTCGTGCCAACTTTTTAGACAATCTGATGAATTTCACAACTGAAATGGGTTCCGTATTGCTTGATTGGATAAACAAGTTCACAATCAATTTGATTTATGAGTTGAGAAATAAAAAACAAATGACGGTTTCACTTTATTAATTTTTGGCTACAGCAGCACTAGGCCCAATAAATCCTTTGGAATCAAGGCTGGCATGGCGAATAAATGCCAATTTTTGATGTTGTCTTGCTCCCTTCGGCTTGAAAAAAAATATGAAATAAGTTATAAGTAAAATAATGTTTAAATTTTCAAACCTCTTCTACGATAAAATGTAATAAGATACGTAATACGTAATGTGTATGTATGTATGTAATGATATGTAATCTTAATACGATGTATACGTAATAATAAAGATCCATAAATAGAGGAAACCATATTAAAACGTTATTTTTAAAAACGTTGATTCTTATCTCGAATTTTCGTATTCAGTATCTTTTAGGAGCCATTTATAATTCTAATTGTGATAACAATTTAGTTATTTCGTCAAATTTATATCTTTATTCATAAAAATCCTTGGAACTGGTAATGATTACACGCAACAATATTAAAAACGACGTTGGTTGCCCTAACTGGTACATTTCTTTATTTGTAACTATATTACACCATTAGTAATAATTCATATGGATA